GTTCCAGTCCCAAGATAGTCTGTAGTTCCAGTCAAAAGCTAGGCTACAATTCCTGTCACAAACCAGGCTCCAGTTCCATTCACAAACCAGCCTCCAGTTCCTGTCACAAGCTAGGATCTAGTTCCTGTCACCAGCCAGACTCCAGTTCCAGTCCCAAGATAGTCTGTAGTTTCAGTCACAAGCTGTGCTACAGTTCCTGTCACAAACCAGGCTACAGTTCCTGTCACAAACCAGGCTATATTTCCTGTCACAAGCCAAGCTACAGTTCCTGTAACAAGCCAGGCTACAGTTCCTGTCACAAGCAAGGCTACGGTTCCTGTCACAAACCAGGATCCATTTCCTGTTACAAACCAGGCTCCAGTTCTTGTCACAAGCCAGGCTCCAATTCCAGTCACAAGCCAAGCTCCAGTTCTTGTCACAAGCCAGGCTCCAATTCCTGTCACAAGTCAGGCTCCAATTCCAGTCACAAGCCAGGCTCCAGATCCTTTCAAAAGCAAGACTCCAGTTCTTGTCACAAACCAGGCTCCAGTTCCTGTCACAAACCAGGCTCCAACTCCAGTCACAAGCCAGGCTCCAGTTCCTTTCAGAAGCAAGACTCCAGTTCTTGTCACAAACAATGCTCCAGTTCCTGTCACAAGACAGTCTGTAGTTCCAGTCAAAATCTAGGCTACAGTTCCTGTCCCTAACCAGGCTCCAGTTCCTGTCACAAGCTGGGATCTCGTTTCTGTCACAAGATTGGATCTAGTTCCTGTCACAAACCAGGCTACAGTTCATGTCACAAGCTACACTCCAGTTCCAGTCACAAGTCAGGCTCCAGTCAGTTCCAGTCACAAGCCAGGCTTCAGTTCTTGTCACAAACCAGGCTCCAATTCCAGTCATAAGCAAGGCTCCAGTTCCTCTCACAAGCCAGGCTCCAGTTCCTGTTAAAAGCTTGACTCCAGTTCCTGTCACAAACAAGGATCCAGTTCCTGTCACAAGCAAGGATCCAATTCCCGTCACAAGCTAGGCTCTAGTTCCCGTCATAAACAAGACTCCAGTTCTTGTCACAAACCAGGCTCCAGTTCCTGTCACAAACCAGGCTCCAGTTCCTGTCACAAACCAGGCTCCAGTTCCAGTCACAAACCAGGCTACAGTTCCAGTCACAAGCTAGGATCTAGTTCCTGTCACAAACCAGGCTCCAGTTCCATTTACAAGCCAGGCTCCAGTTCCTATCACAAACTGGACTCCAGTTCCTGTCACAAACCAGGCTCCAGTTCCTGTCACAAGCCAGGCTCAAGTTCCTGTCACAAACCTGGCTCAAGTTCCTGTCACAAGCCAGGCTCCAATTCCTGTCACAAGCCAGGTTCAAGTTCCTGTCACAAACCAGGCTCTGGTTCCTGTCACAAGCCAGGCTCCTGTTCCTGTCACAAGCTAGGCTCCAGTTTTAGTCAATGTTCTGGTAACATTGTTACAGTTTCACTTAGCTTGAAAAATGTTAATTGCATTACATGGCTATAAGAGAAGCAAATGTAAGGAAACTTTTTTTTCAATATTTCTGTCTGTGTATGGGGGACATGCCACATTTCAGTGTACAGGGGGACATGCCACATTTCAGTGTACAGGGGGACATGCCACATTTCAATCAAACTTTTGGAATGTTTACCACACTTGTGTATTTGTTGTAAGTTATGGTCCACTGATAAAGTGAAAGTGGCTCCAGTTACTGTCAATGTACAGGTGACATGCTATTTTGACATGTTATACAGGATACCTATCCCCTTGTGTTAGAGATTGTCTTACAGGTTCCACACAGGAAGTGTCAGTCTACACTGACAGGCATCTACCTGCATTCCGCCTCTCAGGGTCCATCCCATACCTGCCTAAATCCATTCAAGTTTCAGGTACACCTTTGTGCATCATATCTCCCACCATACCTCCAATTCAACTCAAACATATATACATGTGTAGCGAAACTGGACTCCCCTCAATCACCGATGACCAGGTAGCTCAATTAGCTAGAGTGTCTGTCTAGAGTTCAGAGGGTCCCGGGTTCAAACCCCAGTCTGGCCGCTGCATTTCTCTTTCTCCTGTTACAAAATTGGCACCCAGTGAAATATATGCAAGGAAGGTGGTATAAGGTCTTATGTGTCTTCGTGGGTTGAAGACTTTGTTAAAGGAGGGAGGAATGTAGCGGAACTAGACTGGGTCGATCGTCAGCAACCAAATAGACTCACAAGACAGTCTGTAGTTCCTTTCAGAAGCAAGACTCCAGTTCTTGTCACAAACCAGGCTCCAGTTCCTGTCACAAGACAGTCTGAAGTTCCAGTCAAAAGCTAGGCTACAGTTCCTGTCACAAACCAGGCTACAGTTCCTGTCACAAACCAGGCTCCAATTCCTGTCACAAACCAGGCTCCAGTTCCTGTCACAAACCAGGCTCCAGTTCCTGTCACAAGCCAGGCTCCCGTTCTTATCACAAACCAGACTCCAGTTCTTGTCACAAGCTAGTCTCCATTTCCTGTCACAAGCCAGGGTACAGTTCCTGTCACAAGTCAGGCTCCAATTCAGTCNCCTAACCAGGCTCCAGTTCCTGTCACAAGCTGGGATCTCGTTTCTGTCACAAGATTGGATCTAGTTCCTGTCACAAACCAGGCTACAGTTCATGTCACAAGCTACACTCCAGTTCCAGTCACAAGTCAGGCTCCAGTCAGTTCCAGTCACAAGCCAGGCTTCAGTTCTTGTCACAAACCAGGCTCCAATTCCAGTCATAAGCAAGGCTCCAGTTCCTCTCACAAGCCAGGCTCCAGTTCCTGTTAAAAGCTTGACTCCAGTTCCTGTCACAAACAAGGATCCAGTTCCTGTCACAAGCAAGGATCCAATTCCCGTCACAAGCTAGGCTCTAGTTCCCGTCATAAACAAGACTCCAGTTCTTGTCACAAACCAGGCTCCAGTTCCTGTCACAAACCAGGCTCCAGTTCCTGTCACAAACCAGGCTCCAGTTCCAGTCACAAACCAGGCTACAGTTCCAGTCACAAGCTAGGATCTAGTTCCTGTCACAAACCAGGCTCCAGTTCCATTTACAAGCCAGGCTCCAGTTCCTATCACAAACTGGACTCCAGTTCCTGTCACAAACCAGGCTCCAGTTCCTGTCACAAACTGGACTCCAGTTCCTGTCACAAACCAGGCGCCAGTTCCTGTCACAAGCCGGGCTCAAGTTCCTGTCACAACCCAGGCTCCAGTTCCTGTCAAAAACGAGGCTACAGTTCCAGTCACAAGCTAGGATCTAGTTCCTGTCACAAACCAGGCGCCAGTTCCTGTCACAAGCCAGGCTCAAGTTCCTGTGTTACAGTTTCACTTAGCTTGAAAAATGTTAATTGCATTACATGGCTATAAGAGAAGCAAATGTAAGGAAACTTTTTTTTCAATATTTCTGTCTGTGTATGGGGGACATGCCACATTTCAGTGTACAGGGGGACATGCCACATTTCAGTGTACAGGGGGACATGCCACATTTCAATCAAACTTTTGGAATGTTTACCACACTTGTGTATTTGTTGTAAGTTATGGTCCACTGATAAAGTGAAAGTGGCTCCAGTTACTGTCAATGTACAGGTGACATGCTATTTTGACATGTTATACAGGATACCTATCCCCTTGTGTTAGAGATTGTCTTACAGGTTCCACACAGGAAGTGTCAGTCTACACTGNTACTGACAACATCACATGTACTGACTAGGCACAATGCTTCACACCAAAAGTCGAACTGAACAGTTTCACAGAATTGTGTTTGCTGTACACTTCAAAACGTGAGACTATTTTACCTTTAATACAACTTTTTGATGACAAGCATATTTTACACCCAACTTTTTGATTGCAAAGTAAACATTTGTAGGTAAAAAATAAATTGCACCGACTCAACTTATCACATTAAGTTGACAACTTAGTAATGACACATATTTGACAGAACAATTACACTCACTGAAAAGCCTTTTGTTTGTGGTCTGTTTTAATCTGTCCCATATAATATTGTACTAATCTAACTCTGTGAAATAATTGCGCAGCAGACGACAAACTGACATGTCTGATAAGTGTAACGGTAAATTGTTTTGTGTCGCCCGTATACCTGTTGAAGTGTTTACCTGAAGCTATTGTACGGAGGTTTAATCAATTACGGCCCTGCATGTTACCAATTCAGGATTAAAGTATATCGGACACATGTATGGATCAGATCAAAGTTTCAGGTAGTGTTGACATCCACGTAAAGCTGGTCAAACTTTGTGAGATTAGTCGTGTTACTAGTACAAATCACGTTCTTAATGTTTTACAGGTAAAAAGCACTAATACACAAGTCAAATTTATAGGTACATACCATACAACAGATGTATATGGCATTTTAATGTGCTAATTAACAGGTAAATAATTGACACTAGTTTTGATGACCTACAGGTGTAAAACACTAATAGGGATGTCATATTTATGTAGGTACATTAATCCACTAATGGACATAGGTAAATATGTTTATACCAGATCTGGTTCAGATCAATATTGGTTGATTAGTTTTTTATGCTTATGGACATGACACAGCTATTATTCCCACAGGTGTTTTGTTTTTATCAATACTGGATAATCCAATGGTCATGCATTTTATAACATAAAAGGGAAAAGGTCACTGCTTTTCCATATCAAGGGGGTTACAATTAGGGACCATGTGCATTGCTTAAGATTTTAATGTAGGAATCCTGAAATAAGTGTTAAATCAATGGTTTATATAAGATGCATTAAAATGTATAACAGAGGTCATTATTTTATCAATGTCTCTATTAGGAGTTGAAGCTGGGGCATTTCGATTAGCTAAAGGTAAATTCTCCTTCGCCGAGTGGGTAGGAAGTGGCTAATATTTCACCAGGGTGACCAGTGTTTACTGATATATTTGGTAGTACATGTACAACCTAATTCAGCACTGTAATTTTACTGCTATAATGCTGTCTAGTGACACTGAGAGTAATGTATAAATCATCACTTACCTTGTATTTAGTACAGCCTATTATAGATTCACCAGTATTGTGACAGTATAGGTACCGACATTAAAACACAATAAAACTCATCTCCTGAGCCTCCCATTCATCTGTCAAAACATCGCTGTACACGACCAGCTCACATGGGGAGCAGTGATGGTGTCATCTCTCCAGATTCCTCACTTGAGATATATCCTATAGATTTGTCGCAGCGTTACGTTATTACGGTGTCCTTACATGACCGTATGTCAATACTCACTCTGTACATGATATACACGGGAATGTCGCTAGAGTTTACCACACTAGTGTGGCCATGCGCTTTTGCCACCTGAGTAACTCCAACGTTTAAATGTACTTATTTAATTCCCTCTCCTCTGACTTGACCCTACGCCCCAGCATTATTACCTGACAGAGCTGTGTAACACCTGTAATCTGACTTAAAGGTATTTCCCGACTACCTGGACATGCAATAAGGCGGGGGGTACCTACGTTACCTGTATGCAATTAAGGTATTTGTCAGAAATGTCATTTACATCCACACTTCCTAAACTTCAAGGCAATATAACTCGAACCAATGTCAACACAAAAGCCTGGACTAATAGTTCCCAATATTACAGGTTTCCCAGCAATAATATTGATAAATACAGATTCAGATCTCTAGACAAGTAAAACAGGGCAAAAACAAAATCGGTATTATTAACATTCTTTAAGTTTAGATATCCGTATGTAGCTGTTGACAGCATTGTTAGCTTGATTTCTATTACAGACAATTTACCTGCATTTATCGCATTGTTAACTTACTCTGTTTTACAGACAAATTACCTGTGTTGATCACATTGTTAACTAACCCTGTTTATAGCATAGATGGTGATAGTATTATTGATAGACTTCCGTGTGAAAATGTCCATAAAACTTCTGTGGGAAGGCTGATCAATGGAGGATAATTAAGATACAAGTTCAATGATGTTATCTTCAAACACAATTTTTTTTTAAAACAGATAATTTGACTTGGGTAAATTGGATAAGGTAATTATAGATGGTATTTTTCTGCAAAACATTTTATTATTAAATTAGAAGTAAACACAGAGTGAGCTATGTTGAAAGGTAGATGTTTGACTTTCAATGAAACATAACCCAAATATAAAGATGTGATCAGAAACTGGTACAAAATCAGTCTTATTTTTAAAGTTGTGTTTGGGATGAGAGATTTGGAAAAGGAATATTTAACAACATACATATCTCACCCTCCACTGCTCAGGTATGTAGCTAACTTAGACAAAATAAAAACAACTTTTTGAAATTGGTAATTTAAGTTTTTAAATAAACTGTTCAAGTACCGCATAAAGTGTTTAGATACAATTTGGAATACCACCATCAGAAATCAGTCAATGAAACAGATAACATTTTTTCTTTTCAATCCAACAACCTTTATCTTCCCAATCTAATGACGTTTGGGGAATATACACCCCAATGTTCACACATGGAAACACATAACCCTTCCAGAGTTCACAAAATCCATTTTTCACACCAATAAATTCAATTTAATACCTCGAGGTTATCGTGAGATCAGAGAGCGTATTCTACAGTTATGCCACTAAGCCATTTAAACAGTATATATATCAGATATACATATCCAACACAGCACATTACTGGAGATTTATTTTACAAATAAGAAAAAAAATCCAATATCTGGGCTTTAAAAAGGTCAAGGCGCCAGGCATTACAAAGTGCTTGATGTGGGCTGGAGGAGGATGACTACATGACACCTCTCATAAGTTATTGTTGGACATTTCACACTTCTGACCCCTCAAATCATGGTGGTGGACATCTATCTACTGGCAAACAAAGATTTCCCACATAAATTTCCTATATCAGTGACAAGCTATGGAGATAGACACTCTGTTTTGCCATGTACAATGATAACCGAGATATCAAATCGTTTTAATTAATCAGAACAGTATGCCTATTTTCCTTTCTTTTATCAACAAACCCTACATAACAGTGACCAACAACTCATTACAGGTTTTTCTAAACATTTTCTTCCGGTTGGTAGGTACGGATTATGAAAATGTTCTTGTTACACAACCGATAAGTGTTTCTATGTGACGTTTCGATGACTAATAAGGGTATACACACAAAGTTGTAAAATATGTACCAGCTGTCACATCGATGTCAATTCGGCTACGCTGTCCAAAGTATTGGACAGAGAAAGCAATCTGTTCAAGGAAGCCATCTGGATACGCTGCAGTGGACCAGTTCTAAATCGAGATGAGGGGGCTCATAGACTCTCCCATATCTATGACCAAGTACTAAACAAAGCGTAGCTGAATCAAGTCATTTCNATTGTACATACACTTACAGCATACGTAGCTGAATCAAGTCATTTCTGTACATATATAACAACCATTGTACATACACTTACAGCATACGTAGCTGAATCAAGTCATTTCTGTACATATATAACAACCATTGTACATACACTTACAGCATACGTAGCTGAATCAAGTCATTTCAGTACACATATAACAACCATTGTACATACACTTACAGCATACGTAGCTGAATCNCAGCGTAACCGAATCCAAATAACAACATTTGTTTGTTTTGTCTGTCTGTTGCTTTATCTAGTGACCTACAAGCATTCACAAGATTAAACTAAAATAGTAAATGGCAGAAAAAGTAGGCCTAGGGTGGTTAAGGTACATAGTTGGCACCCAGGTCCCCAAGGCAGGCAAACGGCAATGGTAAGCAGATTCTCTACAATCAGGAACTCTCTACAAACCAGCCAAACCACCTAGGCTGGTCTATGGGGTCTCTGTAAAGACAGTACTTTACAATGCATCATATGACATCCTACCAAAAACTCCCTTCTCCTACTCTTACCCATTTGCATCTACTTACTTTTTAAACCCTACATTTTCTGATTATACAAAGTTGTTTATATTTGGAGATAATTTACATCTGGAGATATTTATATTGAGGGACAACAAAACTTGTTACCAAAGAATGCTAAGCCAATATACAAACCTGCCGAGCAGTTCTGTTGCTGACATTAAAATCTTCACTGCTAAAAGCAATCATTCCTGTTCACTAACACTTTGTTGGGTCGACCAGCGCTTTGTCCTGTTACATTTAAATGAGATTCATCATCCAGGTTGTCCTTGAGAGAGTAAATGTTTACATTACACACTATACCTGTATAAATATAGATCAGGTATATCTAATGGTTAGGTAACTGCACTACGTTCCCTCCACAGCACTAATCCTTTCGTCCCTATGTAACTTTAGTAGACTCTACCATGCATGGATGTGGATGAGTCCAGTATGACCTACAGTGGTGAATGAGTTAAAGGTGCTCTCCCAACCTCTCCAATAACAAGAGGCCTATCAGGCCTGTTTCTCTCACCTGTTTCTTTTGTGAATATCAAAACACGCCACTAAATGATAAGATGTTTATAGCATTAATCTGTTATGTAAACTACGTAACAGATTCCGTAAGTGAGGCTGTCACCCAGCCCTTCTTACTGTCCAGCTGATGGTCAAGTGTTATCAAACCTTGATTAGGACACCTCTTTGAAAACAAAATTTAAATCCCACTGTTCGTCCCTGTCAATTTAACACAAGTGACCCCTAAGTAGCTCTCACATCTGTCTGAACACCTAACAAATCACTTCCTTTATAGTCTAACAAATAAAAAAACCTCCATCCTCACCCCTGTCACATTCAACATCCATTACTGGTGGTCACCATTGTCACAGAAACGTCCTCCAGCCAACAAAACAAACACGGCCTGCCGGAATCATTGAAAGGAGACACGGCCAATTCATTATTATTGTTTCCTTTATTTAAGTAACATGAAACCATTAAATAACCAGAGATGTGTTCACCAATGTCCTGATTTTTATTAATACATGAATTTTCAGTTAAAGGAAAGTTTGCCAGGATCAACTCTTACCGCCATTATTGCTATATTCACTTGAATTTAGTGGAAGCTGGTTTCATGTAAGTGTCACCAGTGATATTGTTTATGCCATTTTTAATACCATAGTTGTCTACATACATTAAACAAGAGTGAAGTACATTATACACATCTCCTTACATTTTTTATCCAGATTTGTGACATTTGTAAAGTTATCAGAGCATATAAAATTGCATATTTACACATGACAACGGCAGAGCCTGCTTATAAGTTATAAGTTATTCAACAATAAGAGGCCCCAGGGTACTGAGTCGCTCACCCAACTAATCCGAAATAAAACTCTACCCAGCTAATCCGAAATAAAACATTATATTTTTGACTGAAACCTGCCAAGGAAGTTTTCCAGAATAGCCCCCTAGATTTCAGCCATTTGTATTTATAGAACTGTTAACCACTAGTCTTAGGATGTTAATACCACAATTCAGTTGAAATCTGTCCAGTAGTTTGGGAAGAGATGTCATATAAATCAATTCAACAATTTTGACCCTTCTTCAGTCTCCAGGAGTGTCAGCACCCTTATTCAGCAATTTTGACCCTTATTCAGCAATTTTGACCTTTGTATGCAGTATCCAGGAGTGTCAGCACCCGTTATTCAGCAATTTTGACCCTTATTCAGAGTCTCCAGGAGTGTCAGCACCCTTATTCAGCAATTTTGACCTTTATTTGCAGTCTCCAGAAGTGTCAATACCTTTACTGGTATAACTTCGGATCCCCTTGCTATCATCACAATCGGATCAAAATCTCTTCAGTTGATATACAAGTGGGAACCTTTTTCTGATATCCAAGTCTCAGTCTACTATCCCATGCAAGACATCCATACCATAATATTTTTCATCAATAACACCTTTTTCTCCCTATCTCTATCCCCTGCAAGACATCCATACCATAATATTTTTCATCAATGACACCTTTTTCTCCCTATCTAAATTCAGTGCTTTAAGAAGGAACACAAGTGCATCAATACAGTAATCAATGGATGATGTAAAAAAGGAATGCATGACAAATAAAGAACACAATTTAATATCAAGGATGTGTGCTTACGTGCAAGTTGATTGCATCCAAGGCTTTAACTCTACGTAGTGTTTGTGAAGTTATGTTGGAACCAATCTTATCCTTTATGAGTATTAGACTTGAAGGAATATCCTTGATTGGACAAGTAAACCTATCTTACACTGTAGGTGTAGCAGAACGGCAAAAATGTGTTAGGCAAATTAAATCAAGGGCCATAACTCTTAATATTAATTGAAGAAGGAATAGAGTGGATTTTTTTTTCTCTCTACAGATGGACAGACAGACAGATACACAGGACAGACAATTTAAAGCGTCAGACAATCTGATTCCAATTTAATCATCCATTCCACTTTATTGCTGAGGATATAAAAAGTATCATAACTCT